CTGGGGAGACAGTGCACAGGAGCTCTCTGTGTGATTTCTTATGAAGCATATGAAACTACTATTACCTTAATAAAGAATTCAATGAAAATACATCAGAAATAAAACGATGTCTGCAGAAAGCCAAAATGTCTAACCTGGGGAAAAGTGGCATGGTCAAGGGAATCAACCAGGGCTGGTGATGCACCCAGAGGCTAGCTTCATGGAGAGCAAGTACCATGCTGGATGAGGTGAGTCAGACAGTGTGGCTGTAGATTGATTAACACAGCCATTGTCAGACCTCAGCCCTGCAGAGAGGGAACCAGGGGATCCAGAATAAATCCCCCAGCCTTGCTCTTCTTCCTCCCTTCAGTCCCCTGCCAGCACCTCCCATTGGCTGAACCCAACCACAAACCAGAGGGCTGGGGAGCCTCCAAGATGCAGTATCCCAGGACCCAGTACAGGCCCCAGATCAATGTGGAGGGGTCAACAGAGGTCACCTGCACAGTGGCAGAGTGATGAAGGCAAGTACAGGGTTCTACTTAGCCACTCTCATCAGGTCTAGAGGTCAGACCAACACACTCTACTCCAAGAACGCTCTCAAAAGTTGTTCACCTGCCCTAGCTGGTGTAGCTCAGTGGACTGAGCACAGGCTGAGAACCAAAGTGTCGCAGGTTCGACTCCCAGTCAGGGTACATGCCTGGGTTGCAGGCCATGACCCCCAGCAACTGCACATTGATATTTTTCTCTCTCTCTCTCTATCTCCCTCCTTTCCCTCTCTAAAAATAAATAAATAAAAAATCTTAAAAAAGAAAAGAAGAAATAGAATCCGGAACAGTTTATTTAAAAAGAAATGTTCACCCTACCAGGAGTTAAGCAATCAAGGAGGTAGTATTTTCCTCATATTCAATGAGTTTGTTGTTCTAATCACTCAGGTAGAATTTCTCCTCCTTGGTAGAAATGAAAATATTTTTGATAAAATGACGTGTTTCAATAATCATCCCTTCAATTCCCATGTCCTCCCCACAGACACCTCACTATTAATCAATGTGGGACATATGTATGCATACCTTTTTATACATCTTGATATACCTCATATAGCTCCCAAGGAAATATATAATACTCGTGTGTGATTGTGCTGACTAAACTTTTTATTTTGACATAATTGTACATTTGCATGCCATTGTAAGAAATGATACAGAGATTCTGTGTGCCTTTTACCCAGTTCCCCTCTACCATGGTGACGACTTGCAAAACTCTATATAACACAATGTCACAGCCTGGATATTGACACTGATACAGTTGAGATACAGAAAATTCCGTCACCACAAAGGTCCCCCATGTTGCCCTTTCAATAGTCACACCAACTCCGCTCCTTGACCCCTCGCAATCACTGATGTCATTTCCAGAATGCTGTGTAAGTGGAATCATACAGTAGGTTGCCTTTGGGGATGAGCTTTTTTCACTCAGTATAATTCTTTGGAGACTTACCCAGATAGCTGTGTGTATCAAGGCTTTGCTCCTCTTTATTGCTGATGGCATGGGTATGCTGCAGTTTGTTTAAATATCACCTGTTAAAGAACATCTGGATTGTTTCCAGCTTTTGACTGTTGCAAATAAAGCTGCTATAAGCACTCATGTGTAGGATTCTGTGGGACCAGAAGTCCTCATTTCTCTGGGACAAGTGTCCAGGAATGGGATTACTAAGTCATATGGTATTTGCATGTTTAGTTTGGTAAGAAACTGCCCAACTGTTTTCCAGAGTGGCTGTACCATTTGCATTCATACCAACAATATGTGATGATGTAGCTTCTCTGCATCCTAACAGCATTTACTATCACTATTTTTTCTTAATTTAATTTTAGCCATCTTGCTAGGTGTGTAATGACATCTCACTGTGGTTTTAATTTGCATTCCTCTACCAGCTAGTGGTATTGAGCACCCCTGCATGGGCTGTTTCCCCTCTGTGCATCCATTTTGGTGAAATGTGCCTTCGTGTCTTTTGTCTGTCTTCCAAGTGGATTGTTTAATTTTTTTACTGTTGAGTTTGAGAGTTCTTTATCTGTTCTAGATACCAGTCTTTTGTCAGGCCAGTTGGTCAATTTTTCCTGTTATGGATTGAGCCCTTGGTGTCAAGTCTAAGAACTCTTTGCCTAGGCATAGATCCCAAAAATGTTCTAAACTTTTTCTAAAAGTTTTATAGCTTTATATTTTACATCTAAGTCCATGATCCATTTGGAGGTCATTTTTGTTTTAGGTGTGAGGCTTGAGTCAAGGTTCACTTTTTGTCCTGTGGATGTCCGATTGCTCCAGCACCATTTGTTGAAAAGGCTGCTATTCTTCACTGAACTCCTTTTGTGTGTGTGACTACTTCTAAACACAAGTATGTCACACTAAGTGTTCAGCAATTTACTTTCTTAACTCTGTAATATATCTTGAGGATTTTTCCATGTCCACATATATAGATCCACTACATCACAGGTAACTGCTGTAGATATACTTTAAGTTGGGGTCCATGAACCACACCCCCAATCAGGACTCAGGAAAGAGTGAACATGCATCAGAAGAAAATGCATTTTTATCCTCATTAACCTGTCACCACAACTTTGCATTCCTTCCATTAGGACTGTAAGGAATAATAGCAATCATACCACAATATTATTAGCAGAACATGTGACTTTGTCACTAAAAGAAGCCATAGATGTTTTCATGGCACATTACAGATGTGGCACATACCCTGAAGTGTCATTTACTCTCATCACTACCTCCAGTACAGTAGTTATTAAACCTGTCATTATATCTTGCTACCTAATGTAGTAATAACATAGTTTATTACCTATCACAATGTCATTTTTATGTTTTGGTAACTGTGTTGCAATGTAATCAGTTTTCTTTATAGTCCTATGTATTTAATATTATTCATTTAAAATCATTTCTGAGCCAATAAGTGATTATAGCAAAGTTGCAAGACACAACCTTAATGTACACAAGTCGATTACTTTCTTGTATAACAGCAATGAACAATTTGAATTTGAAATTAATAACAACATTTTCATTAGCACCTCTAAGATGAAATATCTAGGTATGAATCTAACAAAATATAAACAAACCCTATATGAGAAAAGCTACAAAAACTTGTGAAAGAATCAAAGGCCTCATAATAGAAATATTTCCCCAGACAGCCACACTCTTTGCAAAAAAGGCCAATAATTCCAACCATTCATTCCTTTTCTGGGGAGGGTGAGTTATGCTGAGAAAAATGCAGAAAATTCCCTTGGAAAACTAGAAAGTGACATCCAAGGTAGAGTGGATCATGTCCTAGTTGTCAATAATTATCTTTAATTACAGCTTTCATTTTCACTATTGGATACATTTTTACTTTTTCACAATTTTGCTTGAAAAATAATACTGTCGAGAAAATAGCCTTTCCTGGCTGCATAGGTCAGAAAGCTTGTGTTTCCTGCTCATTAGCTGTTTCTTGGAGATGGATGCCAAGGTCTAATAACCATCACAGTCTTGGAGAGCCATGGGATATTAGCAAGTTAAAGGTCTTGGGAAGTTCTGCTGCAGAGAAACTTGCTCATCATGGTTTAACCAGGCATTTTCCAACAGTTCTGCTCCAAAAAAGCATTTTCTTCCAGCCACTATAATAAATGTTGCAAGACTTAAGGACCCCGGTTTGAGAAACTGGTTCAGAAGTCAATAAAAATGAATTAGATAGATAGATAGATAGATAGATAGATAGATATTCCAAGTACATGGATAAGAAGACTCAATATTGTCAAGATGTCAGTTCTTTTCAGTTTAATGTATTGATTCAACACAACCCAATCAAAATCCCAGCAAGTCATTCTGTGGAAATTGAAAACCTAAAGGTTTATATTGCTATTCAAATAACCCAGAATAGCTAACACAATATTACAAAAAGAATAATAGCAAAGTTGGAGGACTGACATTACCTGATTCAGGGCTTACTCTACAGCTATAGTAATCGAGACAGTGGGGTGTTAAAGAAAGGGTAGACAAGTCAACGAAGAGAATGGAGAGTCCAAAAACAAAACTACACAAACATAGTCAGCTGGTCTTTGAGGAAGAAACAAAGGTAATTAAATGGAGAAAAGACAGTACTCAACAAATGGTATTACAACAACTAGATATTTACCTGACAAAAAAACATGAATCTGAATACGGAATTTATACTTTACACAAAAATCAACTCAAAATGTATCACAAACCCAAATATGAAGTGCAAAACTATAAAACTTCTGGAATACATCATAGGAAAAAATTTAAGGGACCTTGGGCTTGGTGATGACTTTTACATACATGGAAATCATGATCCATGAAAAAAAAAAAGAATTGATGAGTTGGACTTTATTCAAATGCAAACCTGCAGCTCTATGAAAGACATTGTTAGGAGAATGGAAAGACTAGTCCCTCCCTCTCCCCCAGCCTTGATAATCCCACGGCTTTAGCAAAATACCATAGGAAACCTCAGTGCTCACCTGGAGGGCATTGGTTACTCCGAGATCCTGTTGAATGGGAGCATCAGTAACGGTATATGTGGCACGTTGTCATTGCCCTGCCAGGTCCACTCTTCCCACATCTCCACCCTGCTCTGGGCCACAGGAAGCTGGCCCTTGCCCTCCACTGGGTGCAGCTAACTGGTAGCCTAGCAGTAGGACCAGGGAGAGGGGAAGGACGCTCTTTATTCTCTGAGAGGTCAGAGCAATTATTCCCCAGGCTTCCTCCCTTCAGGACCACCACAGCTAGTCTGTTTCCCTGCCCTGTGCCCAGGCCTGCCCTTGCCAGGTCAGGTAAGCACTCCCTGCCTGCTCCCCTCCCTTCAGGCCTAGGGGTGGCAGACCCTCCCCCAGGAAGGACTCAAGGCCTGGCACTACCCCCCACTTCACTCTCAAACACCTTTGTAAACACTCCTGGTATGATACCCACCTCAAATTACCCTAAATTGATTGGGCCATCTGTTTCCTGCTGGGGCCCTAACTGATACAGTATAGTCAGACATGTGGGAGATGCAAATGAAAGGCCACGGTAAGACACAAAAAGCAGGCTACCAATTTTTACACAGCTGGGTTCCACTGGGGAGAAATTGCTGATAAAAAGAGGAGTGGAGGGGCAGGAAGAGGAGTAATAGTTACTAACTGTTAAAAAGAATTACTTCCAGGAAGTGGGACTGAAAGATTCCTTTAGTTCTCCAACTTGTATGCTTTTGAATGGACTAAATCTTTCAAATGAACGTGCTACTATGTCACAAATCATATATATATGTATCTATATATATATTTATTTATATCTATATCTATATATATATAAATATATATATATATAAAACTTTGGCACATTGGTAAAATTGTTCCAGATGTGGGGTGAAGGGAGAGGTGGGTGAAGTCATAAGTGGGTTTTTGTCTCCTTTTATGAATTTCTGAATTTTTTAAACTTTAGTTATGAACTTGCATTATTAACTTTATCATAGAAAGAAAGAGTAGATTTCACTTTAAAATGAAAACAAGAGACAAATTGAGACTAACAGAGAGAGAGAGAGGGAGACCATGGCCTGGATATTGGCTAGAAAAAGGGATGAGACGCAGATGGAGACAGAGAGACAAGAAAGACACAAAAACGAGTGGTGTGTACAGAGGGAAGAAGAGAAATGGATTGAAATGAAGACAGAGAGAGTGAAGACTGAATCAGATATTTAGGGGCAAATTCAGCACAGAGAACAAGCTTTGAAGCTCAACAGCATGTAGGTTCAATCCTCCCTCTGACACTAATTGTGAATTTGGAAAAGTTTCTTCATTTTACCATTCCTCAGTTTTCTCATCTATAAAGTGGGAGTAATCATAGGACACCACTTGCAGTGTCCTTCTTTGAGAATTAAACAAGATGTATGTATCTTAGAACAGCACACAGCCCACTACACTGTAAGCACTTACAAGGACTTCTTACTATATTAAAACAAAGAAAAAAAAAGGAAGGTGATAAAAAGATTGGATTCAGAGAGGGTCAGAACCAGAACTGATGACAGAGAGTTGGCGAAGAGTCAGGGCTGGCACCTGGGGACACGAGGGTAAAGTCCTCACACCTAGGCCAGCATCCAACTGGGCCAGCAGCCAGCACTGATGATCCTAAAACTTACCTTGACCAGGGAAGCCCAGCCGCTCACCATGTCTCAGCCAACCACACTACAGCCGCCTGGAGGGAGCAGGCCCTGCTGGAGAAGGTGGACACTACTCTGGATGCCTCCCAGGGGACAGTACAAGGCAGACCCCACTCCCACATGAGGCACGGAGGGCACAGTGCAGGTGAAGAGTGAGGGGACAGAGGCTCAGGGCAGCAGGGGTCTCAGGGCCCACCACATCTCTCCTCCTGCAGGTGCTCAGCGCCAGTGATCTGAGGTCGGTCCCTCTGCCAGTCTAACCAGAGGCAGGGGCTGGACTCCTTCCTCTCGGCCTCCCTGGCGTCCTTCGCTTTCCACGGGAGCACAGATAAGACCAAGTGGCGCAACCGTGGCGTCCGTGGGGCTGTGGGTCTTGGTAACGGTGAGAGTGGTGGTGGACCTGGGAGTGGCTGAACCCCGGCGCTGCCTCCTGTCACCCTACCGCCGGCTGGACCCCAGGGCGCTGGCAGCGGTCGAGGCCCTGAGGGACCACTACGTGAGCGATGCACACAGACCCCTAGTCCCAGGGAACGCTGGGCCTGCCGGGGTCTGGGACGCGGGTCCATGCCTGGAGAGACCTTAACATCCTAGCGTCCAGCAGGTGCATCTCGGATCTCAGGGTCCAGAATTCTGACCGCGAGACCTTGCTGGCTGCGGGCTTCTTAAGCACAGAAAGTACCTTCATGCCAATCTTAAAAGGGCGCCCCAACTAGGCAGACTCAGCTCACGTCTGGGCGCACTGCTCCGAAAAGGGTTCGTTTCAGTCGGAGTTTACGTTCTCGAAGCGCTTTGTGATTCAGCCCACAATACATACGACTGTACAGGTCAGTCCGGGTTCACGTCCAGGAATCCCCGACACCCCAGCGCTAAGGGGCCCTGGCGAAGAGGCCCCCCTCACCCTTCCCTTGTCCCCATTCCCCACCCCAGGAGCAAGAGACGCTGAGCTGGAGGCCACGCAATTGCTCCTTCCGCCCAAAGGAGGGACCCCCCGCGGCCCTTGGTGAGGCCTCCCGTTTTGGTCGGGGCTGGGGATGAGGGCAGGAGACCAGAGCCGGGGGCTCGGCCGCCGCTAACTCTGTGGTGTCCTGGCAGACCTGCGCGCGACTCCGCCTTGTGGCTCGGGACCTCTCGGACGCCCAGGCGGTGTTGAGCAGCCTCCCCAGCCCCGAGTTGTTTCCTGGCGTCATCCCGACCCTGGAGCTGCTGGCGGCCGCGCGGAGGGACGTGGTGGCCTGCGTGAGTGTCCCCGCGCCCGGCCCCTCCACCCCCACCAGCTTGCTCTGCGCTCTCCGGCCCCCCGTTGGGCGGCGGGATCTGCGATCGGTCCCGCTGAGCCCCAAACCCGTCCACACACGATTCACTTCCTCTTGGCGTCCCCAGATCTGCGCTTTGGTCTGGGGCTGGGTGGCTCGCAGGTGAAGTAGGTGGGGGACTCGGTCCTTCGACTCTTTCGTTTACCTCCTGTCTCCACCTCAGCTGGAGCTGGTGCGGCCAGGTTTCTCGAGGAAGTCCCTCTGGCCACCCAGGAGGCGCCCGAAAACACGGAGAGCTGCGAGTGGAGTCGGCGGTGAAGCCCGTGGACGTCACGGGAGGAGCGGTGGGGAGACGAGTGAGTGGAGATCCGCCTGGAGCACAGGGTCCACTGGTGACCAACGGAGGAGGATTTCTCGGGAAGAAATTCCTGCCTCAGCCCCGCTCTGCTTCCTTCTGGGGTTCCAGGACTCGCCTCGATGCCACGAAACCAGCGTCATCTTCAACCTCCTGTGCCTGTTCACGTGGGGCCTGAGGCTGGGGGCGCACTCGGGGCCTTCTCTCTGACCCCGCGAAGCCTCTGCCAGGACCCGCGGGTCTGCAGGGGGAGGGCTGCGAGCTCCGCTGTGATGCCCCTTCCTCAAGGCCCGTCTCCAGCCACAGGCGCTGAGGCTCAGGGGGCTCTGCCGCTGCTGGCCAGACCTGGACAGTCTGCAACGGGTGCGCCAGTAGGCGCGGGTGCTTTTCCAAGGACGAGAACGTGGTCCCCTGAAGCAGGAACTTTCCTTTTTTTTTTTTCCCCAGGAACTTTTCAATGGGATGCGTTCCCCTAAGATCTTCCAGGGGCCTCGTCTGGCACCAGGAGACTTGAGCCCTGGGAAGGTACCTTGGATCACTGATCCCATGTACCGCGGACCAGTTTCTGCTTTATGGTTACAGAAGCCCAGAACGCCATCTCCCGTGGCAGGTCCCACAGCCTGATCTCAAACTTCAGTGTCTGCTTTGAGATTCTGTGAATCTGTGACTCTGACCTCCCCACTGGGGAGGCCTCACCCCCTAAGAGATTTGGCAGTGCAAGGGCCCAAAGTCCTCAGCTGACTGTAGTATTTTGATTCTGTTACTCACGTGACTTTTGTGTTTGTGAAGTCCCTGTGTAATTTGCTATTCTGTCTTCTGGTGGTAATGTATTGCCATTATTAAACATATTTGCATTTACATTGGTTGATCCCCTGCGATCATTTTGAGGGTCGTGTTTCAGTTAAATATACTAAACCAGGGAAATCAGGTGACTTCAGTTTCAATTCTGACCCACCCTTTTAGTTATGGTGTAACTGGGTAAATTACTTCTGAGTGTCAGTTCCTCATCCACATGATGTCATTCTTATCCTTTTCTTGCAAATGAGTAATGTACACTGAAGTAGTGTTTCTAGAGCTTCCAGCTGAGGCCATAGGATGGTCTTCATTAATGGTTTCTATTAAATAACCACACACACATAAAAATACACAAACAATTGTACTTTTTTATTGTGTCCGAGTAAGTGGGCTGGTGATCATGGTTGCTAACTGCAGGTTTCTTTGCCAAGGTCACACAGCTACTGAAGGTCACAGCTAGGTTTGAATCCCATACTTTCAACCACCTCATGGAACTTTCTTTCTAACAAAAAAGTATGAATTTAGGAATTTTGACATCCTTTGTCCTTTTTCAGAATTCACTGGTGATACAGTGTCTTTGCCCTGGTTAAGGCCAGTGCAATTGACAGAAACTAACCAGTGCCCTGGAAGGCGACTGGGGCAGGGCCCTGTCCTTGGCTTTGAAACATTTTTGTCTATCAGAGCTCAGTTTTCTCTGAGGGTCTGTCCACTCTCTCCCTGGAATTTTGAATAATGGAAACAGGGGGTCAGTGGAGGGCTTGAGTGTCAAAAAGCACCTCTGTGCTGCAAATTCCTTGTCTCTGTGACCAGATCTAGCTGCACAGAAGCTGGAGTGTGAGACGAAATGTGGTTAAGAGCTGCACTTGCCACATATTTGCTGTGTGATCTTGGACAGGACTCTCACCATCTCTAAGTCCCTGCAGTTTACTACATATTTACTCATTCATTATTTCAAGTGACTTTATTTCCAAAAAAGTTAACAGCACTAAGTTTGTGACCCTTTCTGCCAATATCACTCCATATTTAAAATGTAATAAAAATACTGTATGTCCTTAATTTCACTGTGGGTTTAATACTGTAAGTGGCAAAGCCTTAGTGATAAGGGGACATATAAAGTACTAGACAAAATGGGCTGCCTCTGTTTTCCTTTTGTACTGAATGCTCCCCCCTCAATCTCACATAACTGCCTTGCTCACTCAAGTCTTCATTCAGATGTGATTTCTCAGGCCACCTCATTCAGTGCAGCCACATCTTACATACAGCATGCCGTCACCCCACTTTAGTTCTTTCATTTTCTGTTCCTTGATGTAACATACACCTGTGCTTAATTCCTACTCTCTGTCACTCCAGTCCAGTAAAAAGTTCCTTCAGGGGTTGTTTTGTAGGTTTTCTTTTATTCAGTGCCCTATGCCAGGCACCTGGAACCATGCCTGATGCAAAGTGGGGGCTGAATAACTTGGTGAATGAATGAAGGCGTTTGTCACAAACTGGACTGGTTCCCTGAAGTCCTTGGCCACACCCCAATTCCCTAGCAGAGCCTCCCATTCCTGTGTCCCATGGTGCCTGGACAGCTAAGACATTAGTGAGGCTCCCCTCCTCCCAGTTCTTTCTCTCTCTTGGTACCAAGTGTGGAAGGGAGGGAACAGTTGGTCTCCTCTCTGAACTCTGGGCTGCTTTGCCTTTTTGACTCCCTCCCACCTACCAGCAGCCTTCTCCCTTTCTCTTCTCCCCTCCTCTGAGTAACCTCTCTCTTGGAAGTTCAAGGGTCTTGATGGCAACACCCTTAGAGGTGCCTTTCTCCTCCTCTCCCTGGACTGCAGTATCCTGCACAAAGACAAGTCCCTTTGTCCCCTCCCCGTCAGGGTGCTGTGACCCCCCTTTGTGGGGCTGAGGCTGCCCCTACCCTGAGACTCATCTTAGGAATACACCTCCTCTATGTGAACCTGAATCTGTGTCAGTTTCTCTTTCCCTCCAGCTGCTCACCTGGCTCAAGGCCCCGCCCTGCATGGGCTTCCCCAGCCTGGGGCCTCCCCTAGTGGCCATTGTGTTTTCACTTTTCCTACATCAGCTGGGATTGCCCATCTGTCCAGGCTAAAAGCTGTACCATGGAGCCCAGGCAGGTGTTCCACCAGAGCAGAGCTGGAAGTTCAGAGACACACACAGAGCAGCAGACTGAGAGCCAGAAGAGGAGACTGAGGTCACAGACACAAAACAAGGCTGAGTGAGAGACCCTGGTGACAGCCTCTCAGTGGGACGCTTGGGTCCCCCCTGTGCTGACAGAGACCAGAGACAGAGATGAGGATGCAGCTGGGTGAGGCCCCCCACCTCATGGCCCATGACCCCCCACCTCCCCACAGCCTCCACCCTCAGCCCCTGACACTGTCTGTGCCCTCATGTGTCTCTCCTTCTGTAACACAGACTTGCCTGTGGGTTGCATGCTGGTGCTGATGCTGATGACCATGGAGCTGACCAGGATGGGAGCAGTTCCTGTGCCCACCCCCCTCAGTGCCCTCCCGGGTGCAAGGAGCTGCTCCATGGCCCAGTTCAAGTCTCTGCCCCCACAAGACATGAAGGCCTTCAGGAGGGCCAAGGATGCCTTGGTGAGTCTCCCCACTGCCCCACCTGCTGTGGGCCAACCTCCACCCTCCCTCTGTGGCCTACTATGCTCCATTTGGCTCAGGGTAGACCTGTACCCTCCCCAGCTGTGTGCTGACCCCTTCCTTGCTCTCCAGGAGGAGTCACTGCTGCTGAAGAACTGGAGCTGCAGCTCCCGCCCATTCCCCAGGACCCGGGACCTGAGGAAGCTGCAGGTGTGTTGGGAGAGTCAGGCCCGGACCTGCCCTCACCTGGCCCCGCTCCTCTGGCTCCTTCGTGGCCCCTTCACCTCTTCTTCTCACCTGTCACCATCTGTTCCCTCCCACCCAGTCCCACTAACCCATTCTCCTCACAGACCCACACTGGCTGTGTCCTCTCACCTGTCCTGACCTTATACCTTTACTGTTCCTTCCTCAGTCCTCCTCACCTGTTTCTCCCTCATGTGTGCAGCTCTCACCTGTCTCTCCCCTCCTCAGGTGTGGGAGCGCCCCGTGGCCTTGGAGGCTGAGCTGGCCCTGACACTGAAGGTCCTGGAGACTGTGGCTAACTCTACCCTGGGGGACATCCTGGACCAGCCCCTTCACACGCTTCGCTACATCCACACCAAGCTTCAGGCCTGTGTGAGTGCTCTGGGCTCCTGGGCCATGTCTGTGGGCTCTGACTCCCCCCGAACCTCTGTAGGTTCCCTTCTTGTGTAGACTCTGCCTCACACAGCACCCTCCTCTGCCCACAGGTCCCAACTCAGGCCTCAGCAGGCCCCAGGCCCCGGGGCCACCTCCACCACTGGCTGCACCGCGTCCGGGAGGCTTCAAAGAAGGTGAGTGACCAGGGAGTGACCAGTGTCTGGGGACAACTGGGACCCAGATCATGGGTAGTCACTGACGTGTCCTGTCTTCCCCACAGGAGTCCACTGGCTGTCTTGAAGCCTCTGTCACATTCAACCTCTTCCGCCTCCTCACCCATGACCTGAAGTGTGTCGCCAGTGGAGACCTGTGTGTCTGACCCCGAGGCCCACCCACAACCTGCCCCATCAGGAGATTTTATCTGTGCATGTGCCACTGTCCTTAAGTTATTGCCAGCCACCCATTATTTATGTACTTGTGTGTGTGAATTCTCAAACTCAGATCCGAGAAAATATTTATTTTTCTAATTTTTTGTAAGAATTTTTCAAATAAATGATAAGAAAGACTTGTTTCCTGTGCTGTGAAACGGCATCTGTGTGAAGACTAGTTTTCTCTTGCTGCTGTAACAAGGCACCCCAATGTCGCCTCTGAAAACAGCCCAAGTTTATTATCTCACAGTTCCTGGGGTCAGAGCTCCGGGTGGGCTCTGCCTGTCTCTCTGACCTGAGCCCCACAGGGCTGAAATTCAAGTGTGGCCAGAGGGGTTCTTACAGCGAGGCCTGCAGAGAGTGCACGTCCAGCTGAGGCAAACTGTTGGCAGAATTCCGTCCCTGGCAGTCGTCACCCTGAGGTCCCCGTTTCCTGCTGGACCCGGGCCTCCTTCTCAGCTCTTCCAGCCTGAGTCTCTCTGGTCCCTGTTGGTGGACCCCACATCTCAAAACTGGCAGCAGTGTGTCAGCGCCTTCTCGTGCTGGGAATCTCTCTGCCTTCCCCTCCTGGCCCCTCTCTCTTCTGCCTCCAGGTGGAGAAAGCCTGCTGCTTTTCAGGACTCACGTGTTTAGAGGAGGCCCACTGGGCTAAACCAGGACAATCTCTCTATTTTGGCATCTATAAAGGTTATTTACATCTGCAAAGTCCCTTTGCCATGTCACATGGGATAGTCCCAGGTTCCTGGGATTGGGTTGGGTTCTGTCCTAC